TCTCCAACATGGGCTTGCTTTAGTCACACCACTTGCCCACTTGCCTGCACCACTTGACCACTTGCCAACCTTCTAGAAGGACTGCAGCTAGCCTTCTAATCTACAGGTCTACGGATCGAATCCTGGCTACCTATAGACCTACGACAGACCTACCTACCACTGGCGGTTCTACAGGTCGCTCTGCCTCAGCTACCACGAATTGGTGAATACCGTTTCACTTCACTCCATGCTAAACTTCGCTCCTCTGCTCTTGCACCCTGGTGGCATGCGGATGAACCGAGAGCTCAAGGAGCTGGCCATCCAGCTGAGTGGCATGTGGCCGAACTTTGATGGCATGGGTCCTACCCAAGTCCAGGCCCTTCCCTGATGTCTCCGCAACAGGACCTGGATCAGAAAACAGGTCTGACGTAAAAGACGCAGAAAGGCCCAGCCACAAACAGATGAGCTGGGCTAAAGCGTGAAACGGTATCTGCCAGAGGTCTGAACAGGACAAACATTTGCCTGTTCAGGCAAAAGTCCTGAAGAACACAACCTAGACCAGGACAAGCGACAAAACAACACCGTACTGACACCAACGGAATATGCAGCAATTGAAAGCAAAGCAAACTAAATAAAGTGGAACTCAGGACAGACCAAACACTCACACACACCTCAACTCAGAACAGGCGAAATGCTCACTACCTCTCTGAGAAACTCACTCACCTAGGGACCTCATGATGGCCAAGACCCTCTCAGCTGGTAGGAGGCCACAAACAAGGCGTAGGCGCCCGAGGGCACTTCCCAAGGTATGTCAGGGCCCCCAGGTCCACCATGGAGATTCCAGTACACTGCACAGAGAGAGAAAGAGAGAGACTCTTCAGCCCTCTTTAGCCCCCCTATGGTTGAACGCCATGGAGACTGGTATTGGTTGGTTGCTTGTTTGGCTTCACCTCTCTGCATAACTGCATCCTCTTTAAGGACTTGCCATCTTATTTCTTTCTTTCTTTCTTTCTTTTATTTTTTATTTTATTTTTTAATTTTTTTTTTGGAAACATCGCGGTCGGGCGTGGGGGCCATCTTATTTCTTGTTGGCAAGTTTGGGGAATCTTCTAAATTCACCATAATGTATTGAGAGATGGTTAAAAGAAGGCCCCAAATTGAAAATTCAGGATTTTTCTCCGCATCACCACAAGCAATATACATTGAAAGTTGAAAGTTGAAAACAAGAAAGTTGAAAACAAGATATACCCTAAAGCACATACATATCACACATAAAAGAAAACAAGAAAAAAAGCAAAAATTCAGGGAAATATATGGCAGTTTCGGTGAAAATTGAAAATTCGCTGAAAATGGACACCGCCTATTAACCATTAGTGATGCCGTTTGGAAGAAGGCGATGGCCCTCACATGGGCAGAATGGCGGAAGATAGCATGGTACACGGTGGAGTCCAAGGTAACAGATTCAGAAAAACAGGAAACTTATCCTTCCAAGTACAGCTTCATAAACATCAGTCTTGAAAACTGGACAGATGAAAAGACAAGATACTGGCCCACGCTATCCAGACAGATTTCCGGCATGCGTCCCCACCGTCTGAGCACTTGTTACATCATAGGTCTTTTTTTTCCTGAGGTGAAACAGGGAGGCCCCAAACAACTGCCAGCCTGATGAGAAAGACATCCAAACGGGGAGCTCCCGAACAATGTGAAGATCCACACTGAAAGTGGTGTATCATAGAATCGGAGTCAAGAGAGTAGAGACTGGAAGCAGCAGCAACGCCAACGAGAGACTCGAGTCGTAGGACAGGTGGGGGGCCACACGATTCATGGCCCTGGCCAACTTGAGAACCACGATTGAGTCACTCCAAAAAAATCAGAGGCTTGGGGCGACCGGACCAAACGGGTGCGGCGTGAGCCAAAACTGAAACCAAAATGCTGTGCTGGTGTCTCAGCAAAACTTGGCGCGTAGTGGCAATCCATCCCTCGTGCAAAAGAGGCACGGATGTACTAATCCGTTAAACACGCTACTACACGGCCCCAGCCTTGCAGAAAGTTTTCGTCGCCACAAACAAAACTCGGAGGCGCCGCGCGGCCAGT